AAAACAGAAATTAGCTCTTGTTCACGATGCAGCCTACTGCAGACACTTGTCTGTTTCACTGTCACTCACTAATATTGCCCACCGTCGAGTGCCAGACATTGTGCTAAAGTGCTTTGTACGATGTACCCCTCACACAGTCCCGTTGAGACTGCTGTGCCACTCTTCTGATCTGGAAACAGCCTGTGCAGCAGAGCTGGTCCACGGTGGAGCCAGGAAGGGAGGCTGGGCCATCGGCTACTGGGCCAGCGCTGAGCCCAACTCGAGTTCCTTCTCGCGGCCAGCCGTGAATAGTACGGGCATATGCTTCTAGGGCCTGGGGCATCGGCCTAGGCAGGTGATGAGCGGGGCCCTCACAGATCCATGTTTGATGCTTGTGCAGGACCACCTGAGTGGCAGCTGTTCCCATCGCAGTTGTGTATGAAACTCGTGGCTTCCTATAGTAGCTTGGAAACACCGCTAAGGGTTCTCGTAGGTAGTGGCATCCAGCCCCAGAGAACGCGCTGCCCTGCTGTGTCCCCTCCTCGGCCTTAGCCCAGGGCCCATGTCCGGCTGAAGTCAGGTGGTCCGAGGCATGAGCACCACACTCGTCACGTCAGCTTTGCCTGCAGGATTCAAAGTAAACCAAAGGGATATGCTGTTCCTTGGCTGTACCCACCACATTTCAGGTGCTCAGTAGCCCCACGTGGCCCGGCACCGGATCATACGGCACAGACAGAACAAATCCACCACCGCAGAACGTTCTAGAGGGCAGGCTGGTCTCTGGACTATGGGCTCAGTCCCCAGTGTCCCAGGGTCTGGGCGTGGCTGCCCAGGTGCTGTGTGCTGGACAGCGCATGCTCTGAGAGGAATCCCCTTAAACCCCTGTAGATCCTGTAATGCATTTCAGCACAGTGCCTGGTGCCCCCTGCTGCCCTCAGCACGGCACAGGGACTCCATCCAAGCCTGATCAGAACTGGGCGCAGAGCTTTCCCGTGAAGCAGCCTCTGCCCACAGAGTCCTGCTCAGACCTTAGGGCCAAGCTGGGATCACCAGACGGGGCTGGCCTCTTGGCGGTACACATGGGCTCTGCTCTTTTGTGGAATTCACAGGAATTTGATTTCAGAGCCAACTCCCAAACTCAGTTATATGAATCAGATATTTGTAGCCACCGAATAAGATACTGGCAGGACTTTAAAAATACAATACAAACCTGACCTCTTGTGCTGGTTGGGTGCTTTTTTGACAACATACATGCGAGCACTGACTTCCTGGGCCCTTGTTGGAACAAGTTAAATGATTTCCACAGACATCGCCAAGCACCCTTCCTATCGGGAACCCAGCAGGTGTGACTGGCTGCCGGGACCCTGGCCCGAATTGCCTCTGCGATTCCTGTGCCTTTGCTTGGAACTTCATTCACGTTTTGGCTATGATAGGACCCCCGCTTGAAACAGAAATATCGTGTTCAGTGGTAGGAATGTATCCTAGAACTTTTAAAAAATAATATTCACTGAGCTCCTAGAAGTATTGTGCTCCTGATTTAAGTTACTTACGATTTAGTGTTAGTAACAGCCCAGAAAAGCAAGGAACTATGTTAAAATTCTCCAGGTTAGTTTCCACCTTGGACGTTTCTATGGCTGGTGTAACAATTTATCAAAAACTTAGTGGATCGGCTGGCTGAGTGGCACGTTGGTTAAGAGCTGGCTTGGGACGCCAGCTCTGTGCAGCAGGGCCCCGGTTCAGATCGCACATGAGGGCTAGTGACGCTGCGCCCTCTACAGCTAAGATGGTGAACAGCAGCTCGACCTGGAGCTGGGCTGCTGTGAGTTGCCGGTGACGGTGTAGGCTGCAGCCCCTGCTGCAGTGGGCTGCCATAAGCTACCGTGTGTGGCTGGCAGGCAGCGTGAGCGGCCAGCAGCCGGTGTGAGCGGCCGTCCAGAGTGAAGAGCTCAATGATCATACCAACATGGGCCAGTGAAGCGATGTCCTCCACAACTAGACTGAAGAACAAAATGATAGCAACTTGTCTGTTCCCCTTCCCTGATTCCTCAGCACTGTTCCCTTCTCCCAATTCCCCAATAAAATCTTTAAAAAAAAACCAAAAAAACTTAGTGGCTCAAACAGCTCAAATTTGTGACTTCACAGTTCTGGAAGTTAAAAGCGTGACACGGGTCTCAGGCTAAAATCCAGGTGTGGGCAGAGCTGGCTCCTCCTGGGGGCTCTAGGTGAGAATCGGTTTCATGCCTTTTCCAGCTTCTAGAGGCCGCCTGGGTCCCTTAGTTGTGGCCCTTCCTCCATCTTCCAGGTCAGCTGCCTAGCATCTCTCTGATGCTACTTCCGTTGTCACATCTCCCTGACCCTCTCCTCCTGTCTCTCTCATCCACATCTCAAGTTTCTTAACCTAATCACATCTGTGAGCTTCCTTTGCCATGTAGGGTCACATAATTCACAGGTTCTGGGGATTGGGACAGGGACATCTTTGGGGGCCATTGTTGCATCTGCCGCAGTAGCTAGTTAATTGCACCTGACACAGGCAGGCAGGTAGGGTTCTCCCTTTTCTGAGCTCCGCCTTTTGCCCACCCACTGTCTTACCCTCTGAGCTAGGGAGTGAGCAGGCAAGTGGGTGGTTCCTGAGGGTATGCATATCCCTCTGTCTCAGGCCGCCCCCAACTCCCAGCCAGCACCCCTCACCCTTGACCGTAAGATTCAGGGAACACAAGCCGGGAAGCAGGGACAGCCCTTACCACGAGGGGACTCCATAGGAATTTCGTGGCAAGGAGCATGGATAGGGGGGTCCCTCTCGGAGCACTGCTGTGGGGACACCAACTGTTTGTTTTGAAGGAAATGCCCCCTTGCCTTGGACCCCATGTGAGTCCCCTCCAACCCCCAACTGCCGTGGCAAACTCATGGCTGCCCACAATAAGTTTCCAGGTTAGAAACCCAAAGAAACATCTAACTTTAATCAAAAACAATTTCAAACAATGAAGTAGGTTGGCTATGAGCATTTAGACACTAGAACAAAAACAGTGCCACTTATGGTATAAAATACAAAGATTCCTTCCTAGAAGTCAGAAAAATTTCAATTACAGCCCAAACCCCAGCCTTTTCACCTTTCAGAGATAACATCATTATTCTAACAAATCACAGGCTTTCACACTGGGGGTCTGACCACGGGAAGTTGCTTGAAAGCTGGCAACCTGATTGAGTTATCGAGGGGCTGGGACCTAATTTGAAACTGGCAAGTCCTGGTTTTGGCCGTTCCCAGTAGACCCCAGGGTGTGCTCTGGATGCTTTGCATGTGACTGTACCCTTATCACTCACATAATGCCACCTGTCACTGACCACATGGCCTTCCTTTCCCCAGAAATGGCCGTATCCGACACGAGGCACTCCCTGTAAGTATGAAGTTGAATGTGGCATGGAACATTCTGGAACTTTATAACACAGAATAACCACTCCTGCTTCTGGCCTGCCCACACACTCACCCCTAACAGTCACCTGGCTGCACCGACTTGTCTGTCTCCCAGGGTCTCTAAACGCGTCTTGTGGGGCCTGTCTCCACGGAGCTAGGACATCGGGGCTCCTGGGGGTGTTGAAAGGTCCCCTCAGCCAGCACTGCTTACAGGGAGCAGGGCCCAGCATTGTATGGGGACTTGGGCAGGGATTGCTTTGAGCCAGGCAGGGCCGGGGAGGGGGTGTCCCGGCCCACGCTGGTGGAGTGCAGCCAGGCAGGGCCGGAGAGGGGGTGTCCCGGCCCACGCTGGCGGAGTGCAGCCAGGCGGGGCCGGAGAGGGGTGTCCCAGCCCACGCTGGCGGAACGCAGCCAGGCCCCAGCCCTTGCCTTGGAAGCCACCGAGGCTTCGTGCTGCCTCGTGCCCAGGACGGCACCATCGGGGATGACATTGACTGTCCCGGGCGCCTCCAGCCACAGGCACAGGGCTCCTCTCCCACCATCCCCGTAGTTACTCCCAAGGCAGTGTGTGTCTGCACGTAGAGGAAAAACTGGGCTCTGTGAGATGAAGAGGGGAAGTCGAGGGACGAACTCAGCGCCTGAAGGGTGAGGGCAGGAAAGAGGCTGTAGGTCAAGAGCAGCTGCCAGGGTGGACATCTGTGACCCCCAGGGTGTGCGCAGGGCATTGTTACGGGAACGCGTGACTTTAGGCCGTCATAATCCACAAGGGAGACAGACAGCAGGTGGGGAGATGTGAGCACTTGGAGCCTCTGACCAAGGACAGGGTTGCAGGTGTGTCTCAGGAAGGCCGATGTCCACCGCTCGGAGGAGAGCTCTGGTCTCCTGGGCAAGACCGACAGGGAGACAGGAGGGCGTGACAAGATGGATGAGGTCTCACCTAGACAGAGGGGCGGCCATTGTGCATGGGGCGGCATGGGGTCAAGTGCAGACATCACCTCCAGGGGGACGTAGGAGCATGGTCAGTGTGGCGGCTTGGCCCAAGCAAGTCACGTGAGCCCATCAAACCAGCATCAGGAGTGCTGCAGCCAGGGAGCTGGGAAGGGCCCAGGAAAGTGAAAGAAGGTTCTTGAGTGGTGCTCAGAACAATGTGGGGGGGCAGCTGTGTGGGTCCAATGGGCACAAGTAAGGCCAGTGTGTGGACAGTGCAGGTGGCAGACTTGACCTTAACCCTCAGGGGTGGGCAGCTCCCAGCGGGCCTACCTGCAGGCCGATTAGGGACTTACCCTGGGGCAGCAGTGACTGGAAGCATTTTTCCAGCAGACACTGCCATTCCCAGGGGATAGAGACCCACACTTGGGCAGGGGGGCTGAGTGATGGCCACCGAGGTCCCTTCAACTCTAACTTTTTTCCGTAAATGATAAGTGTCTGCTCACTAGCCAGATAAATATTTGTGGGTACTAATGTTTTGTGTGACTGTCCCAGCAGCTATTAAAGCAACCTGTGCTGCCTAACCAGGTGTCTTAACATCCCCAGTAACGCTGATTCTGTGCCCTAACTGCCCAGCCTGGCTCCTCGCCTGGCGCCTCCCTCACCCACATACCATCCTCTGCAGGGTATGTCATCACCATCTCTGGGCGCATGACCTTCACGAGCAATAAGTCCATGGAAATCGAGGTCCTCGTGGACGCCGACCCCGTGGTGGACGACTCGCAGAAGCGCTACCGGGCCGCCAGTGCCTTCTTCACCTACGTGTCCCTGAGCCAGGAGGGCAAGTCGCTGCCTGTGCCCCAGCTGGTGGTGAGTGGCCCCTTCCATTGCTTGCTGGCCTATGGGAGCCCCAGTTTAGCTGAATCCTGGCCTGGCGACCTTGGCTGTGGTACAGGCCACACTGAGGGCTCCCCTGTGGACTGTGGAGGTGGGACTGAGCAGACAGGGTAAGGAAGGCCCTTCGTGAGCTTGTCATCGGCACTCCCTCTCAGGGTGTGTGTGGTGCCTTGGGGCTCCTGACACTACAAATGCTGGAGTGGGCCGAGGACCCCCAGGGTGGACTGCTGATGTGGACCGAGCCCGACCCCTGCGCGGCAGGGCTGGGCATCTGGGCCTCATGGCCTTCCCCTGCCTGGGCACCCGGTGGGGCTCTGCCCTGGGTGTGCACAGACGGCGAGCAGAGCCGGGGGTCTTCGGCCCAGGCTCGGATCCGGGGGGTCACGGCGGGGTCAGGCACCCAGCAGAGCTCGCCAGGCTACTGTCCCGGGGCCCCACACCTGAGGTCTCAGATGAGCACAGTTCCAAGGCCACGGCGGGCTGCCAGGGCTGGAGAGTCGGGGGCGGTATGGCCTCGCTAGCAGTTTCCTAATCTGGTGAACAAAAGGTTGGGTTCACTGAGCATTTAATGATGTCCCTCCCTCTTGCTCGCCCCAACCCCCATGTCAGCTACTGACACCCCAGGTCCCCCAGTATTCAAGGCCACAATCCCAGGAGACTTCCTGGGCTCCCACCCCCCTTATGCCCACCCTGCCCAGTCCTGGTGGCAGGCAACTCCCAGACTGCTTGTGTCACTGCCCCTCCTCATGGCACGTGGGGCCACCACCCTCATCCTCTGAGACAGACACTCCGTTCATCACACACCAGGTCCCTTTCAGCTGTTTCCATTTTGTCACTTCCTGCTGAAAGCTTCTGGGTCCTGGTGCATTTATATAAAATCCAGGTTCCTGCCAGGCCGTGGGGCTTGGGGGTTCCTGCCCTGCTGCCCACCCAGCCTGCTTCCTGCCCACCTTCGGGGCCAAAGCCTCATCCCTGTGGTTTGGGCCGGATCTCACCTCAGAGGAGCCCCCTGACCCCTCATCCAGAGTGCCCCCACCCCCGTCACTCCCTAGTCTCATACCTGCCAACCTGACTCAAGGGAGCCAGTCATTAGCCAGCTGTCCTTCTCCTCCCTGGACTGAGCTGCCCGACGTCTGGAATATGTTCACCCCTCGGGGTCACTAAGGGCCAGAACAGTCTTGGCGTTTAGTGGGCGCTCTCTGAAAAGTGCATGCACCCTACTGTGTGCAAGGCCACGCTGGGGGGACGCGGCAGTGTGGGTGCTTGGAGGGGCCGGGGGGAGTGTGCCGGGGAGTGAAATGGCCCCCAGAATAGGCAGGGGCCCCCAGGAAGGGCAAAGTGGCCGTGTTGACAGGTCCCAGAGCTGGAATCCCAACAACTGGGCGTGTGCTGACCACCCACGGGGCAGCCCGAGGTGGCTGAGGGTTCGAGGCGGGGACGGGGAGATGGTGGGCGGTGGTGATGCTTGGCTGGGAGACACTCAGTAGTTGTGTATTGAAGGGAGGGAGGGAGGAAGGGAGCGTGCGTCCAGATGTCCCGAGAGGCTGATGATGGTTTTACAGTAAGCCGCAAGAAGTCCTTACCAGTGCCAGTCAGGGTGAGTGCCCCGCCTGGAGCGTGTCCTGGGACCGCCAGCTCTGAGGCCTCTGCCTGCTTCTCTCAGCCAGCTTGACCTCACCCCCAGAGCCAGGGCTTCTCCCCTGCTTGTTACCCCATCACCCAGGCGAGCACCCCCTCAGACCAGCAAGGCTGAGGCAGTGTGGAAGGTCACACAGCTAGTCCTGAGGGCCTGGGTTTGGGTCCAGCACACGGCTTTCTGCTGGGTGTGGAGAATACCTCCTTTGGCTGCTCCTGACTCCTCCTCCAGCCAGACTGTGTCTGTCACTAGGGAGCAAACCGGAACCCTTGGCTGTCGTCAGCACCCGCCCCCTGCAGGGTGAGGGAGCGGGGAGCACAGCGGCCTGGGCAGGGTGGCGCGTCTCCAGCACCTGGCAGTTTTGTGGAAGTGGCCGTGCCGGCGACTGGGGCCCTGCCAGTCTGAGCCCTGCTTCCAGAAGCGCCTCGCAGGGCCTCCTGCCGCCCCCACTGCGTCTGTCCCCCACGCAGATCCTGTGCCTCCTGGAGAAAAGCTTGTACTGAAAACCTCTGTGACAAATCAACATATGCATTTAAGATCTCATTCCTCACACAGGCAGGAACGAGCCCTCCACATGCTTCTTCCTGTCACTGAGGACGACCAGCTGGCCAGCCGGCCGGGCTGCCCGAGTGGGTTGTTTCTTGGTGACAGCTGAGGCCCCTCCAAGGTGCCTTCTGGGGGGTGCTTGCCCACCCTCGCTCCTTCTCCGGGGGTCTCACAGGCCCAGCAGGGGTGGGCGGGCTGTCAGGCCTCGCCAAGGCCCCTGTAATGCTTGGAGGAGCCTCAGCTGTCACCCATGGGAACCCTTGACGTCTGACCTCCCCGCCGCCCAGTCCTCCCAGCCCTCCCAGCCCCAGCAGGGTGGCCAGATCCAAGGACACGTTTCCTCTTTATCTCGCTGGCCTCTCCCTGCCTTTGGCACAACGCAATGGGCCTCATTGAAGCTTGTGCTCCACTGACACCGGACTGTGCAGTGTCCAGACGGCCACCCCCTGGTCCCCTAAACACGAGGCTCCAACAGATCATGACCTGCGCCCTTTCCCGCCCTGGGTGGTTGGTCCCTTGTCCCTTCACCCCCACATCAGCTTTACCAGCTCTGCCTCTCTCCACAGGGTCTCCGCAGGCATCTCACTTACAATTTATCCTAAATTGAGCTCATTATCTCCCCCACCAAGATAAAATCCCACTCCTCCTCGGGTGTTCCCTCCCTCGGTGAGTCTGGGAGCCTGGCTGGCTCCTCTCTCCTGCTCAGCCCTGCACCCACTGTCTCTAGGCCCTGTCCCTGCACTGGGTCCCTGCTCTGCCCAGGGCGTACCCTCTTGTCCATTCCTGCTGCCCTCTGTCCAGTTCTACACTGCAGACATCGAGTCTGTTAAAACAATCAGATTCACTCCCTCTCCCACCTAAATTGCTCAGCAGCTCCTCTGCCCGTGGCACGGGGTCCAGCCAAGTCGGCCTCCTCTGCTCCTCAAACCCAAACTCATTCCTGCCTCAGGGCCTTTGCACATGCTCTTCTACAGCCTGGACACCTTCCCTCGGATTGTCATGGAGCCAGTTCTTTCCACTGTGTCTCAGGCATTTCCCCTTGGAGGACTGCCCCTCCCCACTCTAGGTGGAGCCTTCCCCCACCACCACCCGTGACTTCCTGTCGCCACATGGTCTACAGGCACTTGGCCCCGTCTGAGGTCATCTAGTGCGCACGCATCAGTTTTGTGTCCAGCCCCAGCCCCGGGGTGTGACTGTAGGATGCCTGGCACAGATCGGGGCTCAGGAAATGTCTGGGAGCGGTCACAGGCTTACTCGCCTCTCCAGCCACAGCTCTCTACCTGGACAGTCAGAGCGGCAGCCACAGGTCCCTCTCACTCCTCACTGCGGAGGACGCTGCACGCGCTGGCCCTGATGTGGGAACAGGCATCCCGCTGCCTGGGTCCTAGTCACATGATCTCAGGCAGGTGCTTCCTGCCTCAATTTCCTCATCTGTACAAGGGTGTCAGCCATGCTACACGCCACAAAGGGTGGGTGAGAAGATCCCACGAGCTAATGTCTATCAGCAGCTCCGTAACTGTCTTTCCTAGGCCGTCCTCACTGGAGCTTACGCCCTACTGGAGGAAGAGAGGCAGTAAACCAGTAGGGAAAATACAGGATGTTAGGTAGTGGCAAAGGGGAGGAAGCAACAGGTGAGGGTCGGCATTTTCTGGGGGAGCTGTTGCAGCTCAATAGGTCCCTTTTAAGGAGGGCCCCAGTGAGAAGGCTGCATCCCACTCAGGCCTGGAGTTGGGGGAATGGGGGGCCATCCCGGTGAAAGGAACCACAGACGCGGAGGACTGGAGAGAAGGGGGCAGCCACGCCCTGAGGCCTCCCAGCTAACACAGGGCAGGCCCAGCACTAGGACCCAGCCTCTGACCCTCAGCGGGGGCGGGGGGGGGGCCTGCAGGACCCCCCAAATGGGCATAAGACTAGATAGAGATAGCCAGGGAGTCGGGACACCTTTTTAGAAAGGGACGTACTGAGTAAATGCAAATGGACAGCGTCTGTGGTACCGGCCACGTTGTAAGGCACGCCCGCCTGCCCCGGAGCCCAGCAGCTGCCGTGGGGCTTTATTGCAGCCCCCACGCATGCCCCAGAGCTCAGCCAGCTGGGGAGACCCGTGCCACAGCCAGGAGGGGTCAGCAGTCTGTGGGCTCTGGGAGGAGGGCCTCGGCGCCCCAGGGGTCTGGTCTCCCAGGGAGAGTGGCCTGCAGTCAAGGAGCCCTTTGTGGGGGGACGCATGACCTTCACAGAGCCTGGCAGTCCTGGGGCCTGTCCACCTGTTTACTTTCCAGAAACAGGGCCCCGGGCAGGGTCCAGGTGGAGGAGGAGCTGGTGGGGCCTGCAGAGGGGGTGGGGAAGGACACCTGCTTGAGTGAGGACTCCCTCGGGTTTGAGGGCCAGCGGTCAGCTGGCATGTCCACACCTTCCTGCTGGCCGGCTTCCATCGAGACTATTGTTTCTCACCAATTAGAGACGATCTTTGATTCTTCACTGAGGTGGCCTGGGGCCCACAGTGTTGATAAAAATAGCCTCTGTCGGGGAGGATGGGTCCATTCCCCAGAGTGGGGCTTTCAGCTCCAGCCTGGCCTCTGTGGCACTGACCTGGGGACTGGTGACAGGAGTGTCATCTGTGTCTCAGAACACACGTGTGCTCCACGCAGCCTGTGTGCGTGTGTCAGCAGTGGGGGCTCAGCCCTCCGCCCCTCCCTGCCTCCCCCCCACTCCGGTTGTCAGTGATTCTTCAACCTCCCTTCTATTTTTAGCTTCCATCCCCAGGGCCGGCTGACACGGCAGACAGCAGCGTTGC